AGAGAGAGAGAGAGAGAGAGAGAGAGAGAGAGAATTTTCCTTTCTTAAAAGCTGTTTCCCTGCCCCAAATTTCGCTTCCATTTCCTGAATACTAACTGTATCTCTTTCCCAAATACAGCTTCTCTATCCTGAATACTGTTTCTCTTTTTGTGAATACTGCTTCTTTTTTAGGTATTGTTTTTCTTTCCTGAGTACTGTTTTTCTTTCCTAAATACTGTTTCTCTTTTCCAGACACCGTTTCTCTTTTCCAGATACCGTTTCTATTTCTTAATTACTGTTTCTTTTTCCTATATAATTTACCCTTTCACTTCCAGCCCTGCTCTATAATCACACCAAAGAGCTCAAGACAGCCTCGGGCTAGGCAGTGAAGGGGTTAATGCTGTTTGTCTTCCCTTGATGCTGTTTCTTATAATGCCTAAATGCTGCTTCTTTTCTCCTACCCACTCTTTCTTTTTCTGTAATTGTCCTCTCCTAACGAGCCTTTTCTCTTTTCCGTGGGTGGTTGGCGGGTGCTCTGGTGTGGTTTGCTCCTTCTTTTCTATCGAACATCTATTATCCGTATCTCCCCTTCTTCTTTTTTATGTTTGTTACTCTCTTGTAACACCTCTAATCTTCTTGCGCTCAGATGACCTTTATTCAGTTGCGAGCGCTGTAAAACCTCTACTAAAACTAAACTAAAATTTCTCTTTTCCCGTCCACAGTGGCGTTGCATCAGGCCCTGCCTTTCATCGGGTTTGGCTTTCTGGACAATTTTCTGATGATTGTAGCGGTAAGTTGTGTTTGTTCACTCTTTGATATTGTTGTTTTCGGTTTGGTGGGCGGTTGGCGGGTGTTTTGGTGTCGTTTGTTCCTTTTTTCTTATCAAGCGTCGGTCGTCCTCATCTCTGCTCTTTTTCCATATATTATTATGTTACTCTCTAGTAACACTTATAAACTACGCTTCCTCGACTTGTCGTCTCTATCCCCCTCTCTGTCTGTCTGTCTGTCTGTCTGTCTGTCTGTCTGTCTGTCTGTCTGTCTGTCTC